CAAGACTGTGCAAAGGTAATTAATAATACCAGTAGCTTGCATGTGGGTCATGCTATTTGCCTTTGAGTAACCATATGTATGTCAAGTAATATTAAGGTCACAGTATAGAGAGAGATCCTTCTTTCCACGAACAATCATAGAGTGGAACAGCCTGCCGGCTCACATTGCTCTTAGTAGCAACTTAGAGGACTTCAAGTCCATGCTGTAATCCCCCCTTGAAATCTCCATTTCCTCAGTACATTACCCCACCCACCCTTGCGCAGTACACACTTGAATGACATACATGTAATCTTCGACAAGACGAAGGAGGTTGTTTAAAGAAAGAAGAAGAAGTATGAAACATAAATGTGACATTTCTGGAATTATAGTTAAGACTGAATTGTACAACAATTGTGGTGAAATATGACAATAAAATGCCCTTACCAATGTCAGCTATGACAATAGCTTGCCCGTTGGCAGCTAACAGCTGCTGATATACAGGTGTCATTTCCTCTGGTCCTGCTTTCTCCTGTGACAACGCTGCTTCCTTGTCCTTCTCATCATCTTCATTCTGCAGACAGATATCATTCATGCAACATTAATATCAAAATATACTTTAATTCCAAATATGCAGTAAAATATGAAGGTCTTATATGTGTATGATCAAACAGATTTATCATTACAAATTTGCATTGTTTTGAAAAGCGCTGCCATTTTCAGAAGAATTATCTATACAGTTCGGGCATGTCAGTGAAATGACAACCCTGCTTAGTATATTCAAGGAGCTTCAAATTCTTGATTTTCAACTTGTCTTCCTTGGTATATGTGCAGACCTTAAATTACCTGTTTCTCATGATGTTCTATGGAGAAGACATGGCACCAGCCTTCAGCACTCAGCGTCATAATCACATTCTGAAACACATGAAATTTTATGTATCAATGGTTTAAAAAGACTGATAATACAAAATAGTATCACTGTTTTGTATTTTTTCAAATGCACATTGTCTATTTATTTGTGGGCATGGTGGCCTTGAAAAGGTGCACTTAGGTGCACCTGTCCCACCATGCCCTCCATGTATATTATGTATGTGGTTAATTGTAATAAATAAAATAAAAAATAAACAAATAAATAAACATGTACAATCCTAGCGGGTTCATGGTAATTTGATGGTACATGTACTAGTACCTCCAACAGCTACAGCAGTACAGGATTGCATATTATCATAACTTGCTACAGGTTTGAGTTGTTTTTAGTTTCTCCAGATAAGATTGACAGTCCAGCTGTCATTTAGACTTGCATGTTGTACCGGGATGTTACTATAGGTTCTGACTGAGATTACAAATGTACTCACCTTGCCAGTATTGCACACATCACCCACTGCAGCACACGAGGTCTGTGGGGAGAGAATAAGTCAGACTATTATGGAAAGTGATCTCAAACCTGTTTAGCTCACTGAAAAGCTAATCTTCCACTGGTCGTGACAGAGAAGACAGACACTATGTAGTATTAGTACTGCAGTATTTACAGGTTCATTGTACCAGCCTGAGGGAAGTTCCCCTAGCTCTTTTAGACAAGCACAATGAACAGTAAACCATGGCTTAACGTCCCATCCAAAGGATTGGAACCTGCATGTCAGGCAAATACAAATTATGCCAACAGCTGGGAATTGAACCCCCAACCTCTTGGTCCACAGGCAAGGTCGTTAACCACTCAACTTTGTATACACACGCTACATTCAAGTTAAACCAATGCAGGGAAAGTTAACAGAAGTTCCATCCACTGCAACAACATAAACATTTTAAAATCAAGTTGTGTGCATATATTTCTACTGACCATCCCCAGTCCTGAAGCCACCCTCCATGGCGTGGTGTCAGCACCTTTAAACACCATCAGCTGTCCATTCACATTTCCAGCCACCAACTCGTTATCCTAAGGATGTTGAAAACACTTGTTTATGCTTAAGTCACATTTCCAAGCAGTGAGACATTAACAGTTGTTCTGACATTAACAGAATGTTGTGTGAATATCTTGAAATGTAAGCATTTCCTACACCTGGGCCACTCAAAGATTTAAGGAAGTACATGCTAGAAGTATGTTATCTCTCAAAGCCATTGTCCGTACATTATTTACAAGTGTGCCAATTACTTTGTATTCAGTTTGACATTGCAATAATAGTTTGTTTTACCCATACCTGGCTTAAGTTTTATCTACCTTTTTTCCTCTTCTTGCATACAGCTTAGCCCAATAATGATCGGATTACTAGAAGATTGCGCATAACCAACCTCCTTGGCATACTAGTAATTACTTTGTTACACTTACATTGATGAGATGGTTTTACATTTGTACCTGGTCATTGTCCACATCCCCCAGCACCATGGCCTGAGGCATGAGGTTCCCTGAGAACTCCAGCTGCAGGTGTTCCACAAATGATACGTACCTCATCTTTCATACACTACAGTATGAACTGTTATAATAAACAACAAAGTCCAAATGAAATAGCTGAAATTCAATATCATTCACATGATCCCTCTTGAACTTGAGGGTGTATTGACAATGTTATCCTCCTCCTCAGATATCATATTCTTTAGTCCATAGACATGGTGGATGTACTTTAAACAGTTCTGAGTTGGTTTAAAAATCTAAAATTCTGCCTGTGTCTCTCGGACTCTCCCCATCCTCTGCAGTATATGTCCCTGGAGGAAAAGCTTGATCCCAGAGTATCTGAGACTATACCATGATTTTCAAGGGGTGGTGAATGAGGCATTAATTTATTTTGAGCAGTTAAAGATGATTGTAGGGTTAAATTTTATTTTAGAACGATTTTTTTTCAATTTTATGTTTCTTTTATTATCATTAGTTTTCTATGTATTTGATATATTTGAGCATACAGATGGCGGCTCCCGTAGATTTTTGTCGTCTCGTCTGAAAGTCTGGGAACGAGAGCGGTTGCCGTGAGACTTGTGGGAAAATGGCGGCGTCGGTGAGTTTTACAAAGATGCTTCTAGATTTTTCCATCCTTCTGTGGCGCCCCTTGTAGAGTATACAGATTAGTCCGTGCTATTCGATGCACATTTATCCATGTGAATAAGTTTTACCCTCAATTGCCAGTGTAAACGTGGTTTGATTTGTCTGGGAGAGTGTTTGTGTATGTTGGCGCGGCGGACCGCATGGTGGGGAGGGGGGCGACTTATACCGCCAGTTCTGTAGTTTCTATAAACCACCTGCTGAAGGATGCCATGGGGTGTTGCAGCAGTCCCGAAATATATGTTCGCCTTTACTGAGGATACAAACGTTAACATCATCCACCCTATATAAAATCTTTACGTAACTATTTGGTAAATGGAATTTTATAACGAAACTTATATCACAGCACATGTCTATGTAGGAGAATAATTCATAATTTCACAAGTTTGAAATACATTAAGGTTTTTGCAACTATCTCTTAGTAACTGAGTCTTAGGGTGACAGCCCTTTGAGTAGGCTACAGGAAGTACATTTGAATTGAAGTAACCCATGTACATAATTAGGTGATCCATTCTCCAAAGTTTCAACATCAAGTGACTATTTTTATTATAATTTATATTAATAAGTACATGTATTTGCAGAGATGTTCTGTACTGTATTTGAAGCAAGACGTATACATGTATATTTAACCCTTCACAGGAAGCAGCAGCTAAAGTTCAGGAGGTTCGGGAGGTGACAAGAATCGAGCGCATTGGTAGGTAGAAATAATTCATGTTAATGTTAATGTTGAACTCTAAGCATTTACAGACTTTTGTGTTGCAGGATGACAAAGAAGATTTTTCAAAAGCTTTGGAAAGGGATTGGCAGTTTGAAAGACAACCAGCTGGTTCTGTCCGTCAATAATATGATAATTGTACCATGAAATGGCGACAAACTTTTGATGAACTTCATTCAAACTTACAAGTATCATTAACGTTTGTATTTCTTTGAAAATCTTTTGGTTTTAAGGACTGTTTCTCTTTAAGTTAGTGTATGATATGATGTGTGTGAGATGTATGTACATGTACAAATGTATCAGTAGATTTGTGCAGATTATGGCATTCCATACATTTTGTTACAGGTGCACATTCTCACATCCGTGGCCTGGGATTAGACGATGCCTTGGAACCACGACAGGTAATGTACACTCATGTACTTTACTTAGAATACATGTACGATATACAGCTCCACACCATGTATTTTAGCAATGTATAGAAAATAAAAATGTACATTCATTGCTTCATAAAACCTTGTTGGCTTGATATCAATTGCCTTTTCAGAATTCATGTGTGAGTGATAAGTTGTCTTTCATGAGTTGTTACCTTTTCATTGGACTTTTTTTTTCAATATACATTGTACATTTATATTCAAATTGTATTAGTTTTCAAAACTTTTGTTTACATGTGTGTTCTGATGTGTTCCAACAGGTGTCCCAGGGCATGGTGGGCCAGTTGGCCGCACGTAGGGCAGCTGGGGTCATTCTGGAAATGATTAAGGTATGGATATTGTGGCTACTTCTGAAAGTTATCTCTGTAATTAATTTCAAAGATTTTCATTGAATGATTCCATGTTCCATTCTGTATATGAGTATAATTTAGATGAACAGATGAAAGTACATACGTACAGTTCACCATCTTCATGTTTTTCTCATAGGAAGGAAAGATTGCTGGTCGTGCTGTCCTGATTGGTGGACAGCCAGGAACAGGCAAGACAGCAATAGCTATGGGTAAGAAACCCTCTAGATTGCCCTTTTCTACAAATTATAGGCTCCCTTTTCTCTTCTTATTATCAAAGAAAGTTTAGATCTATACAGATTCTCTTCCTTTGGTTGACTGTGTTACACTACCTCTTGCTACCATGGGCCAATTGGTCAGTCATTTAACTAGGCTAGTGCCCCTACTAAGCACTGAAGACTTTCCCTCTAATAAGCTATTCTTTGTCTTAACCTTCTTCCTGCTGCCTATATTACCCTCTAAGCATTGCAAAATTGGTGCCAAAGGCTACTTCTGCAGGAAAAGGCTAAAAACTATGGGCAGAAAACGTGCTATGTTTCTTAGTACTATAGTAGCTACATCATCTACAATATGACATGTTAGTAGTTTTTACTGTAGCAGAATATAAAAACATTTTCACAAGAGTTGTATGTGGCTGTACTACAGGTATGGCCCAGGCCCTGGGACAGGACACACCGTTCACTGCCATGGCTGGGAGTGAGATCTTCTCCCTGGAGATGAGTAAGACAGAGGCCCTGACTCAGGCCTTCCGCAAGTCCATCGGCATCAGAATCAAGTAAGACAGCAACGTTTTTAAAACACAACAACAGACATGTATAACTCTGACATTCAAGAGGAGAATGTATAAAATGATCCGTCATAGTAAACCAGTGGTAGAGATACTTTCTTTCAGTGCTCTGCAATATTGCAGAATGTCAAAATTTTGTTCTGCAATTGGGAAATACTTTCTGCAAATACACACTTAAAAGTCCGGATCTAAACCCATGGCACATACAAAATTGCATATCGCCATATCTTTTAAATGGAATTTAAACAATGCATGCAAAATTACTTGTATAATATAGAGTCAGTCAGTAGTAAACACAAAAGTTCTTAAACACCATTGAGGCTGATTTTTTCAATCTGCAAAATTGCAGGTTGCTTGATTTTTCTTCTGCACTATTGAAAATGTCTCTGCAAAATGCAGATGGTTATTTCTAACACTGTAAACTCTAGAAGTATGGAATAGAGTTAAGTGTTTGTCACCTTATCGTAATACTGTACTAGTAGTAGAGATTCAACAACTGAAATGGATATGGGTATAACCTTGCTTTTTATGTTTTTGTTTAGGGAGGAGACAGAGATAATTGAAGGAGAGGTGGTGGAGGTACAGATTGACAGACCAGCAACAGGAACAGTATGTTGAGAATCTCCTGTGACTTCTTTATCCTACTTGAATTTCATACTATAATCATAGTATGTTCTTGTTATATTGATAGACAGAAGTTCATGTAATCACAAGATAAAAACATTGTTGTTACGGTATTGCAAATTCAACATATAGTTTGAGGTAAGATTGGAGGAAGAAAGTTTTACTCACAGATGGAAAATACAGAAACTGTTACCTGTATTTACATGTATTTGTTTGCTGTTTACCAATAGGGAGCCAAGGTTGGAAAGTTGACCTTGAAAACTACAGAGATGGAGACCATCTACGACCTTGGTACCAAGATGATTGAATCTCTCACCAAGGAGAAAGTGGCAGCAGGGTAAATGTTGAGAAGTCAAAGTGGCCAATGCAATTTACCAAGATTTTCACCTTAGCGAAGTTTTAGTGATACTTTACATCAACACAGCAAAGACAGCTCACCTCAAATTTTCGGTTGCTTCTCCATCAATTTTCTTTGGAAGTGATGATTCATTTAGATTTGTGAGATTTTAACTTGATCATATCCTTTCTGATTTAATGGTGAATTGACAGGTTTTCTTGTTATATGTTACTTTGCACAGCTTTACCTGGTAACAGAAGTCAAACCTGTACAGCAAGAGCTTTGTACATCCTTTAGCACAGGTAAACTTAGAAGAAGTCAGTAGTATCACCAGCAGTAAGCTCACTCAATGTTTATTATGTACTCCCACAGTGACATCATCACCATTGACAAAGCCACGGGCAAGATCACCAAGCTGGGCCGCTCCTTCACACGAGCGCGGGACTACGACGCCATGGGGCCGCAGACCAAGTTTGTGCAGTGTCCTGAGGGAGAGCTTCAGAAGAGAAAAGAAGTGGTCCACACCGTTACCCTCCACGAGATCGACGTCATCAACAGTCGCACACAGGGCTTCCTTGCACTCTTCTCTGGTACGGTATCATTTCAATTAAGCAGTCAAATCTTTACGCCAAAAAGCAGTTACTCATTTTGACAAGCAACTGGATATGATTTTGAAAATGTCAAGCAGTCAAATCTTTGTTTATTTACATGGATAGACGCTCCAGTCAAATTGGGCTGATTTCCAAAAGAGCCCAACTCTAGAGGTATGGCTTATAATGCGCGAAGCAGCTTAACAGTCTGAAAAGTGACAAGGCAAAGAAGTGGATGATGAAATATTTTCTGTGCATTAAACCTTGTCCTGCTGGCATTCCTGGCACATATTTTTCAATAATTTCATGTCTTAATTAGATCATAGACCCCCAATTTTAGTTACCTTCGCATTAGTTGCGTTTCGCTGCGGTGTGATGTGTTGCACAAGAAATATCCCCAAATCGTACCTAATATACAGGGTGCTATATAGATGGTACAGTATGTGCAGAACAACAATTGTTATGTCCGCAGTACACTATCATCTCACAAGGGGGCACACATGTCTACACTCATTTTTAGATTGATCCATACAGGGTTCTAGAGTTAAAGAGACCCTTTTTGTATGATATTGATTTTGATGATTAATTTTGCTGAGCCTCAAGTTGTCAGGGATAGTTGAAATTGACACTTGAGTCTAGAGCATCCATTAGGCAACAAGTGAAAAATTGTTGAATGCAAATTTTCAAAATTTTGATGAGGGGTCGAGTAATAAAGTACTTACCCGGTATAATGAGAACTGTTGGAAGATTATACTTCAGCTAAGCCTTCTAATCTAATCTTGATAAGAACCATTCCTGACATTTTCTCCCAACTCTTCCATTGCTCAGGTGACACTGGTGAGATTAAGAGTGAAGTCAGGGAACAGATCAATGCCAAAGTGGCAGAGTGGAGAGAGGAGGGGAAGGCTGACATCGTACCTGGGGTGAGTTAGGTTATTTCACCGTCAAGCAATTCTTATGAGTCATTGGGAATAATAGATTGTGTAATATTAATAGAGTTTAATTATATAATAGAGTTTGTGATATTGAAACATGTTCTGCTAAAGCTGAGAATTGCATTGAGAGACAGATTTGAGGTACAGTTGAAACTGGCCAAGAAGACCACTCTGGGGACATGAAATCTTGTCTATGTGAATAGGTGGTCACTTAATCATGTATAGACAAGATTCTTAATGCTTGTGTCAATGGGAAAACCTATCTAAGGGACCACCATAAAAGTGGTCACATTGGCCAGGTTGTCTTTATGTAGTGGTGGTCATTTGTTCCAGGTTTGACAGTATGCAAAGGTAACAGCAATTGCAAGTCATAAAAACGTTGAAGGCATAAGTTTTTATTTTCTGATTTGGTAATACAGTCATACAGTCAAAGCTTTATTTCCCCCAAACTCCTGACTGGAGAGTTAGAAACAGGTTATTTAGCTAGTTTGGCCTACAGAGTTAATGAATTTTGCCAGGGGATGATGTTGTACAGATTGATCATTGTTGTGAGGCCTCTAGGGACAGAAGGGACGTGGTGTCATTTATCGACATCACTGGCTACTGATTCACACTTTTTTATAATCTCCTGGAGCAAGTGCACTACAGGGCTCAGACATTGAAAATTACCTGCACCAGTAAGACAAATTTTACCTGCACCGCTCCGCATTTAGACAGTATGGAATCTATGGATCATACTAAAAACTGCTCAGAAACCATTGCCATTATTTCTCATAGTCATACTTCAATGGCGGTAACAGTCAATAATATATGATATAGCAATGAAAATCCACATACACATACTAGTACATATATAAACCCAATACATTGACTGATGCAGGTCAGAAATACCTGCACACAGCTTCAATTTTACCTTCACCAAAGTGCATAATGCAGATGGTAGTTTCTGCCCTGCTGTAAAATAGAGTAAGAAATGTGGGTTCAAACATGAAGGCTGTTGTAGTCAGTAAAGGTAGCCATGGCATAGGCCACCCAGACTGAGTCCCTTCAGCTAGGCTTATTGCAGTCACAAAATAAGTCTACTTGCCTCTTGCTTACTCGTAAAATATCAGTGTCGACAGGTGGATTCCACCGGCAATTTATTAAGTCACACACAAAAAAATGTTCCAAGAAAACTCCAAAGTGTGTATACATTCAAACCAGCTTATGTCCATACAACTAGTTTCTCAGTACACTTTTTGGTCAACCGTTTTTTCCGTATCTCAGAACGAAAACATTACTTTCTGTAAATATTACCCTGCCTTGCTGCTAAATCTCTACATATAAAAGATTAAGGGCTTGAAAAGGTGGTGGTGAACATCTGATCCCCTAAGCCTGCTCCCAGTGCACTTAAAAGCCTTACTGTGAGTCTGTATTTAAGTTATCTAAGCCAGTATATGTTGTACTAAATGCATAGCACTTAATGTTGTAGCCTTACATACAGGTTTGACTTTTAGCAGCTGCTACTCTGGAAAGGCAGCCCGTATGTTATTCAAGTACTGCATTATCTGTAATTTTTGCATGATACTTGCTCCCAAGTCAAAATTTCCCAACTCAATCACCAAATTTTTATAAGGTTATGGTTGATATGTCAATGAACGACATCCAGGTAATGACACATACAAATAACTGGATAGATTTTGAAAACTGTCAGACATTTCAAGTAGCATCCAATATGTCCTTTACAGTTGATATTTCAGATGTAGAACCTTACAAATTGTACATGTACATGAACAACCCTATAAGTTTAAATATTCTACAAAACATATATGTTTGTCTACTTGCAACATGGCACAAAACTTACTGACAGTATTGTTTTTTGTCTGCAGTTTCAGTTGCATGTATGCTGTTGCACTCTTTGTACATTGATGTAAAGAATGTTCTACACACTAAATATTGAGATGACTTAGTTTCTCCACTGCACTGGCTATACTCCCTAAGTTATACCAGACTTGTGGAGCGAATCTTCTCTTTGGAAGGAACCATCTGACCACAGGCTCTCTCCCCTGGCTCCACTATTTTAACCTTCTTATTCACCCCTCCATCTGTCCCCCCCTGTTTGTGGCCTGGCTTGGTATCTGCCAACACCACAGCATTGCCCGTGATACTACTGGAAGCAACCAATGCTGCCATGGCGGGGGGATGGTGAGGGGCCATGTTGGACTTACACGGCCCGACGTTGGGCCACTTTATAAACAAGTACATTGCCACAAACACCAGTGAACCTGAGCTAAATCCACAGAGGATGAAGAGTTCTGTACGGTCAATAGTGACTGACATCTCTTCCTCTTCCCTAGTCTTGTTTGCGTTTATGTTATACTGCTCGGTTCTTGGCTGCCCTATGCCCAAGGACAGGGATGCCATGACAGTTCCACCTCGGTTTGTCACCGTGCAGACGTACTCACCAACATCCATATCAATCACAGACTTGATGTGTAAGCAGTTTCCCTGGGCCCGTATACGTCCCACAGATGTATTCCCGCTGATTGTGATGTTGTGTGCTGTCAACCACTGAACATCCGTGGGAGACCCACTGGTCATGTGACAGCAGAGCGAAGCTGGCATCCCGTTCTCCACCACAACCATCCTGGAATAAACAGTCAGTACGGGCGGAGCGCAGTAGAAGTCCTCCTGTTTTAGAGAGGCAATTTTGTGGAGGCGCAAACTCTCGGGAAGGTAGCATTTGTACAAGTGACGGTAGGCGTCCATTCCTTGAGGCACTACCCCAGAATTCAGCCACCCCCCAAACCACCTCATCTGACAGTTGCACTTGTATGGGTTGTCGTGCAGGAAAAATGCGTCGGCTTGAGGCATGTTTTGAATCTTTGGATCCAGAATCTGGATTCTATTTTCTGTCAGATCCAGCTGCTCCAGCATGGGTAGCAGGAAGAGGGAAGTCCAGGGAAAAGTCGTCAGTCGGTTTTTCCCGAGGTAGATTTTTTCGATCCTGAACAGTCCGCTGAATGCCATCGTATCCACCCTTGTGATGTTGTTCCCCACAAGAAATAACTGTCGCAGTTTACTCAGCCCTGTGAAGTAGTATTCCCGTAGTTCTGTTAACCTGTTGTGTCTCAGATCAAGTATTTTCAAGTGTTTAAGCATGGATAATGCACGGAATTCAATTCCTGCAATTTTGTTCCCAGCCAAGTAGAGTTGCTGCACTTGTGGTAGCTGTTTAAAGGTGACTGCATAGATGTAGGTTAGGTTGTTTTCTGTGAAGTCCAGGTGGTCAGTGTCGACCGGCAGGTCTGTTGGCATGGAGGACAGCCCCGCGGCCTGACAGTTCACCAGGCTGACCAGACATTCACAGCCTTCAGGACAGCAGAGGGCTGTGGGCAGGGACAGCAGTGTAGAACAGAGCAGCAGTGGGAACAGCCTAGTCATCCTGGATGCTTGCTGTACCATCAGGGTACATGGAAGTTTCAAACTGTAGAAGTCAGCAAAAAATGATCATAAATGGTTTTATTCTGTTAAAAAAACAGCCTAAAAGGGAGTTGGAATAATTTCCATATTTGTAGTTATAGTAATAACTGTCCATCAGCAATGATTGGATATTTTTTTGCCACAAGTTGGCTTCACTATGTGAAAAGATCACCACTTTTTTGGCTCAGCAATAAGTTGAACCAGCGTAATTCCACATTCAGATGGACTATAAACTTACAAATAAAATCTTTGTAATGACAAGCTGTAGTAAAGCATTGTTTATGAACAATATTTCTATCTGATGTAAAAATATAAAGTTGGAAATACAAACCTTATCTGATGCACTGTTGCTCAGTTTCAAACTGAATGTCGTAACCTTTTTCCCAGAACACTCTAACATATGACTCTGCTGCTGGTACGGGGAAGTCGTGACACACTGTTGTACTAACCGATTGTGTCGGCTCATTTCATGGCACTGATTGTGCTCGCAGCAAAACTAATCACAATTCTTCTGTCACGAATAACATCGGGTCATACCACTGCACACACAGGGAGACATGATTAATAATGATAATCAAACAAAGGAGAAAAATGTTGGAAGCACACTTTTCTTTTTGAAGAAACTTCCAAAAGCTCTGTATTTACTGTTGTTAGCTGGCTGCCAGGAAGTTGATGCTGAATTAAATGTAAGATATTTGTTCATCTATTGGTGTCTTCCCCCTTTTCGGAAATGTGCACTTCCCCATTGGAGTGATAACTTTAGCTCCATGTACTCGACATTAATTTGACATGACACGCCAACTAATCACCGTCCAAAGGGTGCGGAAATTTTCATTACTGGTCTGTTCTTCCCCAGAGACAGTCACGTGGGTGAGGAGTTTGTACTTTGATAGATTATTTCAATGAAAGATAGGGATACAGATTCAAGCTTGGATGGGAAAAGATCAATACTACTAAAATTTTGGAACTCACATTTTGTCAGTTAGTTGCAAATTCAATTGGAAATGGAACTCACATATTAAGTTGTGTACGACTATGTATTGCCTACAATATGAATGTAAGGATTACCCCATAATATCCCAAATACATGTACACACACATGTACCTTGTCTGATGAACAAAGTTTAACAGTTTGCTACTGGAAATAAAAAAGAGTTGTTCTGTGTTTTCAATTGGGACTACTTGAGAAGTGTATAACAATACATTATCTTACATGAACCACTGCCCTTACATGAATCTTTCAGGCGCTTATTTCATAACCAAATTATTAAATCCATGTGGCCCAACTACAAAATTAATATAGAACTGCTGGGACTAGATTAATTTTCGCCGATTGAGAAGCATTCTTAATTGATTGTTATTGTTCGCTGCCTTGTAAGAATTGATTGAGTTTGGCTGATCTAATTTCTCATGACTGTCACGGTCCCCTGGGGGTATGAATATGGTACAAAGGGCAGGACATATTTAGGTAATGGATTAGATGTGTTAGTGTAAGTCATGTACAACTCCAAGATTACAATGCCTGGTACTCTGCCCTTTTTCTACACATGCTTACAACACTTATAGATTCCTGCGGATTTGGGAAAGTTCAGAAAAATTGGAAACGTGCCAAGGGAAAGGGCTCGGCAAAATGCTTGTATTACCTGTGCTATTTTAGGTGCATGCATGTATGATTATAATCTCCCAACAGGAATATGTACTGCTGAGATGTACATGTAAAAATGTGCCTTTTGTCCAACCCAATGGGCACTAGAAGTCATATTGTATTATGTAACACATAGTAGTGATGATGTCTGGAGTTGAGAATTAAAAGTCTCAGAGGAGTACATGTATATTTAAACTTTAAGCGCAAGAACAACTTCATAGAAAACAAATCCATGGTACAAAACTCTCACTTATTGTTTATTGTATTTCTGATGTCTACTTGCACTGGTCCATGTACCAGGTTTGAATAAATGTAGGGGTATATGAATTTTTATTTGCTGCATTGAATGTTACCACCTATTTGAAGTGTAAAAGAAATACTGGCAATGGTTTCTGAACAGATTTTAGTGTGATCTGTGCTTCCTAAATTCTGAGTGGTGCAGGTACATTGTAAATTCCAATGTTACCCACACTAGTGCAGGCATGCAGAAAAAAGTATTTTGAGCTCTGTTTTATGTACTGTACATGCCACCTACATGTATGATGTACATGTATAGGCTGTACCAACACCGTCCTTCTGTGTTTGTAGGTTCTGTTTATAGATGAGGTGCACATGTTGGATATTGAGTGTTTCTCCTTCCTGAACCGTGCCCTGGAGAACGACATGGCTCCTATCCTCATCATGGCCACCAACAGGGGCATCACCAGGTAAACACACTGTCTGCAATCACCCAAACATATTTATAATAATTCATCTTTTTTTTTACGGCTCTTGGTGGCAAATGTGCAGATGTTGGCACATTGGCGCACCAGATCCGTAGTGTGCTTTTGGCACACAGACAGATTAGCCTCGGTAGGCATCAGATTGGTTGTCAGATAGTTTTAGATAAATATTTTTTGCAAAATTTTTGTGTCTTTATTTTTCTAACTTGCCCTGCCCTGTACCCTGTAGGATCCGTGGCACCAACTACAAGTCTCCCCACGGGATCCCCATCGACCTGTTGGACAGACTGCTCATCGTGTCCACCTCACCGTACTCCGAGAAGGAGATCAGACAGATCCTCACCATCAGGTAGGCAGGAGAACCTTTGGTAAAATATTTTACAGTAAACTAGGGTAAAGTAGCAGGTCAGCAGAATGTAAAAATAAAGACCCTGCGCGAAACCCGTAATGTACTGTGCATAGCAGTTCGGCAGGACGTCTTGTTTAATGTTGTATTCACGCCTTTAGCATGACATCCCATCTTTAGTTTTTAGATGTTGTGGCGGAAAAGATATTGTCTGCAATGGGCAAAATTAAAAAACAATATGGACAAAACATCCAACGAAAATCATGAAGCCTATAGTGTATTGGCAATGTAGAATGCTCAGATGAATGGGCTCAGAAGAATGTCGTTACTAATCTTCATGATATACTACTACAGTCCCACAATGTTCACGAGGTAGCTTCAGTAGTCAAAATGCAACAAAATTCTCATAATTAAAGAAAAAGAGCACAGTTAAAGTCCTACCGGGTATGTCCCAACTGTCATCTGAAGTTGACAACTGATACATATGGGGGGCTTAAAGTATGCTAAAGGTTAACTTAAGTCCCCTTCACCACTCCCCAGATGTGAGGAGGAAGATGTGGAGATGAGTGATGATGCCACCACCATCCTCACCAAGATAGGCATGGAGACATCCCTCCGCTACTCCATCCAACTCATCACAGCAGCCAACCTCGTCTGTCGCAAACGAAAGGTACAGTTGTCTCCTCCAATATAACACTGCTAGACCTGAATTTGCAGTGGCCTGAGGACGTAGCAATAGTCTATTCAAAAATAGATTAATACCAAGAAATTACATGTACCTCGAAATCATGACAATGCAAATAGGTGTTCCCAATGTATTACTGCTGTACAGAATTATTTCAACCACGAACTTAAGACACCTGGAATCCTCTACCATGAAATTAAGTCCCTGTGAAAATTGATTTTACAGTAATTGATGTAACGTGTACCAGTCACAGTAATTGATGTAACATTTACCAGTCACATTTAAAAATTTGTCCAAGCCTGCTGATTGGTTAGCAGCTGCAATGCTGCAGAGAGAGAACCAATCAGTGAGGACACATCCAAATGTAAAACATGAAGAAAAGAACCAATGCCCGTCTATTTTACAAACTTTGACATAAGTTTGTTGAAGAAGTGAGTGACTAAAGCCTGTTGTGCTGTGATCCCCAGGGTACTGAAGTGAGTGTTGATGACATTAAGAGGGTGTACTCGTTATTCCTGGACGAGCTGCGCTCCACACAGTTCCTGAAGGAGTACCAGCAGGAGTTCATGTTCAATGAGATGACAGGTAGGTCTTCAACTTAAAAAGAATACTGATAGATACCAGGTACAAACTGTAGACTGTTAAACTTTTGCAGTGGCTTTATTTTTGCTCCACTGCAAAGTCATCACAACTTGAATATGTCTCCCCTATATGACTAACTGTACTATAGAATTGTTTGAAACGCAATTTAAACATCACAGAACCTTCTACAGTAAAATAAAACCACAGCAAAAGTAAAGCATTTACAATTACTTCTTTCACTTCTTTCATCATCATCAGAATTTTGATAGTTTGATAGAAGAGCATTTTTTTTGTGCCATATAACTTTTGAAAGCTGACTTCAGAGCCGACTGACTATTTTTCATAGGAGTTAAATGAGAGGATTGTTCAAACGTTTTGCATTAAGTACAATGTACTTTACATAATACATGTAGTCAATTCTTGACTAAATACCTGCGATGACCAACTGATGGTGTTTGTTGTTTCTATAGACACAGAACAAATGGAGACTTCCTAGTGGGGCCAAACTAGCCTGACTTCTGTCTGTGTTGGAATGACTACCACCCATTGTCCACAAAACTACAGATAACTACTGCACTTTATATTAAACTTAGCACCAGCCAGCTTTCCATTGAGCTCATACAATGTACCTACAATGTCTTTATGGAGAAGAACCAGTATTTCCCGTCCAGAAAGTTTGGGTACCCAAAAACTTTGCCAAAAGTTCCATTAAGTCCCAAGAAAAGTTTTGTACAAGTTGTTGTATGATCCCAGAACATCTAAGTATTATCAGACCTAAGAGGTATTGGGGGGAAATAGTCACATGTACTATGGTGCATGTACTCAGAACAGTAACCTATGGTTGTAAGAGTTACCTATACAAAAATATGTACCCTGATGTAGAGAATGAAGTAGAAACAGCTTGTTTGAATTGATTTTTTGTAACTTTTCTCAAGTTTTGTGTGGATTGCAAATATATCATATTAGAGGACAATACAGTGTACCACTGTACATGTATGTATGTTGTTTTAAAGGTTTTGTATGAAGAGGACTTCCCTGAAATGAAATTCTAGTTTGCCTTTGTTAAATTAAATTGTCCTGTAGACTGCACACTGTAAGTGGGTGAAAATGATTTTTTATGCATGTACATCTACGAGGGTGGATCAAAAAGTTCTCGGCCTCACCTAGAAAACGTCGTGGCAGAAAAAAATTTCTTACACTATGTTTCAACATAGTCCCCTCTAACTGCAATGCACTTGGTCCAGTGATGTTCCGGGTTTGTTTTCCCCTTGTGGAAGAAGGTTGAATCTGGAGCCCCCAGATAGGCCTATACCGCATAGATGACGTCATCATTACCATAAAAACGTTGACCACGTAAGTGGAACTTCAGTTTAGGAAATAGGTAGAAGTCCGAGGGTGCTAGGTCAGATGAATTGGAAGGGTGGGGTTAGACTTCAACGCCAAATTCGTTTGCTGCTGTCACTGACCCCTGTGCTGTGTGGACAGGTGCATTGTCATCACGCCAGCTCGGTGCTTTCCTCTCCTTATCTCTTTGATCGTTGTCCTCAACTGTTGCTATTCTGTTAAATAGTACTCCCCATTGATGTTTTAACCTATTCACAGGTATTCAGTCATGATTACTCCCTTGCTGTCCCAGAAAACAGAGACAAAACCCCTGTCAACGGATGAAACTCGATAAAACTTCTTGGGGGCCGGGAAACATTCTTCATTCATTGTTTGTTCTGTTGTTTTGATTTGGGGTGAAAGTGGTGAAACCATGTCTCATCTTGGGTGAAAAATGTTTTGAGGTAATTGCATGGATTGGACTGAATTCGTTCCTTGAAATGTCCAGGTTGTTTAACTTCTGATGTTCAGAAAACATTCTAGGCACCAACCTTACAGACAGGTTGCTCATCCCCAGGATGTCTGACAAAACATTGTGAACAGAGCCACAACACAGGCTAAAGACTCTGCTACATGTTGGACAGTCTCACATCTGTCATTTACTACCATGTGATGGATGGCTTCAACTGGATTGTCCATGGTGCTGATTTGTAGCATCCTGACATATGTTCATCTTTGGTGCTCACCTTGCAGCGCTTGTAGCTAGAAACCCACTTCTTTATAGTTGAATAAGAAGGAGAGTCATCACCAAGTGTCCTGACCATGTGTTCATGGATTTCCTTACGAGAAATCCCTTTTTATCGATATACATGATCACAGCACACGCTTCTGTTGCGGCCATTTTGTGATTTTGCCCTCACCCGCCCCATTTTCACGGGGCGTCACGTGCTAACTAATGAATATAGAAATTTGAATTTTTGTGTGCAGTGATGTAAGACATCATAGTATACAGTTATACTAAAGAATAGGAGTTTGCCCTTTATTTTCTAGGTGAGGCCGAGAACTTTTTGATCCACCCTCGTAGCAGATATTAGAATGTAAATTCAAATCTGGACACCTAAAAAGCTGGAAGTTTATGTACAAATACCTCTAGAGTATTTTTTCACTTTAGTAGCTAGTTTAGGTTCTGTTCCTCCAGTCCTGTTTAGAATTGTACCAGATCTGCTTGTCACTGATGTGTATGGATTTAGTATCCATTTGGAAAAGGATGAAAAAAATAAATTTGATCCTATCATCAACTGACGTTTGTTTCTTTGTTTTGCACAACCAGAAAAATGCTTGTTACACATCAGATTGTACAGCACTGGTAAGTACAAGTTGCTTAAGACCAGACTGTAAGGTTTGAACTACACCTGGGAGGACACCTATTCTTTTCGATATGTGTGGTGGGTTCTTTAACGTGCCAGAGACATGGCTCTCCTCAAACATGTGACCTCTGGCTTTACGTCCCATCCAAGAGGACATCCCTAAGCTGAAGTGAGGAAATAGGTGTTGAGTGCCTTTCCCAAGGACACAACATTACAGTGTGGCCCTCCAGGGATTCGTACCCAAAATCTTCAGATTCTGAGTAAACAACCCTAGGTGACCATGCCAACTAGGCCCGCTACCATGTTGTTTGACTTTATGGTACAGTGTAGTAAGAATTGCTAACATTAACAGGAAATCTATTTAGTATATTTGCAGTTAGATTTTAGTGATGTAAACCTCTGATTGAGAGAAGACTACCTGCTAACAGTAATGACATACAATTCACAGGTGTACCGTATTGAATCATCTTTATTTATTCTCTTGTGATAACCTCTTAGGTGGCCGTTTCTTCGGCTCCATTCTTAAGAACTATATGTAAGGTGCAGATAATGCCTCTCATTCACAGCGCCGTGCGGCTGTGAACATCACTGATAGCATGCTGCCCTCATTAATGACTCAGCAGTTTTCATGCTGACTGAACTATGCCACTCTGGCCTACTCTTAATTAATTCTACCGCTGTCCGCCAGCGGGTCGTTGTACGATACTTCTCCTGTAAAAGCAAACACCAGGGATGCTCTAGTGTTCTAGCTAGAATTCATATGTTACTTCTGTCCTCTACCCGAAGAACGGAATCTTGGTCCAGTCAGGTTGAAGAGTTGGTCGGGCGTTGGGCGGGTCTACGTTCGGGTTGGGTGTCCGTTTGTGGGAGGCGGCAGGGTCGGTCTGCTTGACCGGCCGTTCGTCGACGGACCGCTGCTTGTCCGTCTGGTCCCCGAAAGGCGTGAGGAAGAAGGCCGGGTTGACGGAGGACGAGCGGACCGGGTTGCCGTCACGGGTCCTCTCCGGGACCCTGTCGGAGGCCGAGCGCCGCCCGAAGGAGCTCCACATGTTGAGGTTGGCCGCTGCCTTGGGCGGCATCTCCGCGATCGCCGGCATGCCGTGGCCGGGCGCCTCGTCATCCTGCTCCTCCGGGGCCGGGGACGCCTGCGGGGATACCATCCTGCCGAACACCGACCACGAGTTGGGGTTGTACTCGGGCAGCTCGTTCTCGTACTCCCAGCCCGCCCTGGCGGTGTGCGACGTGGACACCTCCGTCTCCGTGGTCTGCCTGGCGGTGCTGGTGCTGTTGTGCTCGGTGGTGGCGCTGGCGCTAGCACTGGCGCTGTTGGACGACATGAGGAGGTCCCGCAGCGTGGACGCCTCCTCACGCTGCCTCGCCTGCTGCAGCGCCCGCCGACCGGCCCCCTCCAGACCCGGCACCTTCCCGTGCATGATCTGGTACATCCAGCCCGTCGCCACCAGGACCGTGGTCACGGTGGACCGCACCAGCGCCTCGATGGTCGGCCCGTGCGCCAACACTTCCCGCATGAAGACCGCGTCATGCGCCGCTCGCTCCTCACCACCCTTCGCCGTATCTTCACGGGCACCTAGAAAGATGGAGGAAAAAGAACATTTATAAACGCCATTATTTTTAAACTATGGTTAAAACATTGCGCTTTTTGGCTTGTGTATCTACATTCTATTCAGTGTGATTTCCTATGGAGCTGAAACGTTTTCTTTGGAAAAACAAGTTGGAGACAATTATGATAGTAAAGTTTTTTGTCTCTCTTTTTTCATTGAGAAATAAGACGTGTATACACAACGTTACACATAAACATGGTAAATATTTAATCGGTAAGAAAACCTTTTCCTCCTAGAGCATCACCCTCAAGAATTATCTTATTGCCTACTTCCTGCTGTTTGTGTTAAGCAGCTTCCGCCCGCGCGTTAACTTTCGTCACCTCTAATGCCACGAAGTGGTAAATATTTAACACGGTTAGTCTTAATAAGACACCACCCTTAAGTCTTCCTGTAGCTCTTCTGGCGGCTTCCTGTCCGCCGAAGTAGTGGTAGATTTTAAAGTGCGTCAACAGCCTGGATTTTGCGATGCAGTCAATTAATAACAGCTTAGTTAAATCCGGTCTCAGCTGGACTTGTTGGACTTTATGGAGCAATTAAGTGGACGTAGATCTCGTAGGCTGATGTAGAGAAACGTGTAAAGCTGGGGCCTAGATCTGCCTGGACATTAGTACATGTACGTATAGCTAGGGGTAGACTAAAACACGTGCAGTAGGAGACTCAAAAAGTGTAGTGATGTACACAACACATTTAGGGGAGTAGGATGGAGGGAGATCGCACGAACTATTGAGTGGATAAGAGTTTAACTCTTTCTTGTCCTTCCCCAACAGACTGGTACAAATACTACTAGTATATCAAATTCAAATTTTAGATTATTACTGGGCGAAATGTTTTGATGTTTATCTCATATTTCCTGGTAAAAATTTGGGGATCCTTTGCAAAGAAGGCTCAGGCTGACACGACGACAAAAAGCTGTATAATTATACTACTAGTGGGCGTAAAAAAGCGAAAAAAACTTATCGTCTGCATGAGGCGATTTACAGGTACACTTCGATACGGACTCGAATTGGCATCGCTTCTATGTTATGGTGCAGAGAGTGTGTACATGTAGAGGCTTTAATCACGGTAAAGAACGAATAGTACTCACCATGTGGAAGGAAGATGTTTCTCTCTGTGCCCCTGCATCCCATACTACATGCTACCAGTAGCAGCGCAGCAACCAGTAACCTTCGTTTCATCATACCTGGGATAGAACATACAAAACACCCCGTTAGTACAAAAATGCAGACTCAGATCTAGCATTTGGTGTATTCAATAATCATCATCATTATAATCGCCGCTTACATCTGTCCACGATGCCGGCCGATGCCTTCCACTCTCTTCTGCCCCTCGCTTGTCTTGGTGCTCATTTCCATGTCTTCTTGTTACCCATCTCCTCTAGGTGTCTATACTAGTATTAGATAATTAATCTACTAAATAGTTCCGGTGCAAGCTACGTCCACGATACGACAGCGTGGTTTACTAATTGCTTGTTAAGTCCGCTTGTGCGAGCGGCATTCAGGGAGAGAGTGTGTATGCACTAACGTTATTGTGAGAGAAAGTCAGCACCAAGGACAGGGCGCACATTTGTTCTTAACGAATTTCAGCACCAGGGACAGCGCCCATAGACGAACGTTTGAATCGAATTTCAGGTAAAGAAATAGCGCCTCACCAGTTACCAATAGTTACTTTAGGAGCACCCGTAGTGTAAATACATACTGGTATTCACTAGCATGGCTAACAGCGGTGTTCAGATTATATTTAGTGCCAGAAGCGCTTAGGCGGCTTTGGTGTAAGAACTTCCCGTTGTGGGGTGTACAAAAGCCCCGAAGGGTATACTCCAGCGGAAACCCGTCTTGAAATTGTAGTTACTGTTACTTTGCAATTGTTCCTGAAGCGTTTTGACACTCCAAATCATATCATAGTTAACATTGAAAGCCGTCAGAGATAGCTGGGCGAACTTAACGTAAAAAACAGGAGCAAAAAAACGCATGGCTTGTCCCCCAACAAACACTGTCTGTACACGTCTAGATCGACAAACTATTAGCTGTATTTCCTGAAAAACGTATTTTCCTTCTTTTTCCTTGTTTTCCGTTTCTACTAAAGAATTTTGGAATGAACAGTTTATCTTTTAGGTTAAGTTACAGTGCAACGAATGCGAGATCGAGAAGACACACATATTGACGATTTTTTTTAAAAGAATGAACAAAAGAAACGAAAGAAAGCATGTTACCCTCAGAAAACGCCAGAAAAATTGATAAAATTCAACTCTTGAAACGAATCAAGCTAAGTCGCATGAAACAAAGCCGGACGTATAAGAGAGAAGCACACGCTGAACGAAAGAAAATATCAGAAACGTCTTCGACTCACCTGTACCAAGCCGCTGGAATCTTTCCTCTGACTCGACTCGACAACTCGTTTCTCTTATAAAACCGTGTTAATTAGGCTGAGGGGGTTGTGTGGAAGCATCGCCCCTTCCACCTGTCAATCAAAGTGAGCTCTCCCACGTCAAAGGGGGCCGAGTTTCCGGCGCCAGTGGCGGGAGACGCCGCATACAGGCTTTGTCGCGGGGTGGCGAACTGGTCATTAAGCAAACTGTGATTTGGTCTTCCTGCGTAAGTTGATGCCGAACTCGCAGTGGGCTATTGACATTAAGATTACAGTCCCTGGCGGGGTATCAGGGGGGAGTTATCCGAACACGTATGCCGTGAGCTTTGGTAAATGGCACTTTAGAAAGGGCTTAATGCAAATTGTTGCCTTTCTCTTGTCGCCTAGACGAAGGTGTAAACATTCAGTTTCTGTTTCAGCGTTGCTAGCAATTTAAGAAATCTTTTACCTCATTCACTAGGGCACCTATAACTTCTCAGAAAGATAAATGACTTATATATGGTGTGCTGATTCGTTTTTTACATTCCTGGGCACGTACATGTATGTGCCTTGCTGATATAAACGAAGAAAAGCTTGACATTAGATGAAATTTTAATAGATTCGATCGTGTAGAAATCACTGCCAGCTTCTATCGCATACATGTCGGTGTGCTTCACCATTTGTCAGAGATGTAAGTCTGTGGTATTCAGAAAGCTGAGAAACCTTGGGAAAACTCCAAGGAGCCTTGAGTCTAGCAGCCGACATTTGCCCGCCCAACAGAATGAAGTTTAACTACATCAAACGCGCCTCCGCCCGAGGATTTCGGCTCTAGTCGGGATTCTGTGTAGAATAATGCCTGCAGGCGGCTAATGCTTAAGTAAATGTCAGCACGACGCAAACTTTGCAGGGAACGCGGGCTTTCACGGGCAAGGATCAGCTGTAATTCTCGCCTTCCGGAGAACAACTTTAAAAGCCGGCGTCACTGAAACTACACAGGAAGCAGCTCTTGGATGTAGGTCTATTAAACCTAACTCAATTACACTATGATTGTCACTGGACACCACAGAACTGACAGATATAGTGTACCTGTATTTGTGACTGGCAAATCTTTCATACACTTAATCAATTAATGGGAATAGCATGTAGTCCGCGGCGCTAAGAGAATTGTTTGAGCGGACCAACTCGATTCGATTGAGATTCGGACATCCCATCCTTAAGAACTTTTCGATCACTATTATATAGAACATGTTGATGCAGGCATTTGCTAGCTACATGCAGTACCTGTGCTGTGGAATCTGACGCAGCGTTGTGAGACAGGCTCTACAAACCGTCAAGGGACAGCAAAATTGGACTCCCTTTTCCAACCACTTACAAGGAGATTTGAGAGCAGTCTGTTTCACACCTTTATAATATATAAGAAAAGGCGTTTTACAGGATATGTAACTCTTATTCACTTAGTGCAATGTTTGTACTAATATGCGATGTGTCAGGGTAGTTCCTAAAGCTACTCTCCAAGCAGAGGTTGATGGGGGGGGGGATCGTTTGCTTTTTATATATGGCCCTTTTTTTTGTCGCTACTATATCCCCACCCCCCGTCGGTGGCCGGCGAATTCTCTGGCTAATGGATACTGTCTTGCCACCGAAAGAGATCTGCTTGGAGATTACCTAAAGCCTCAATTCAAGAATATGATTGTGAATTTCTTTAAACTAGCCGCGAACGTAACTATTTGTATTTAACAAAGGGTGAGCTACTTTTCATCTTCAACCTGTTATGTTATTTCCCAGTACACCTCTGATGTGGTTGATTTTCGGTGATATTTGCAATTGAATTTTTTGCCACTGAAGAAAGTGAATCTGCGCAAGCCGTCCACGTCAGTCAGGATTACACAGTTGGGCACATGTTGCTGTTCAGGATGATGATAGTAAACAAACTCCCACTGGGACTCAATTAGGCAAAGTTCAATGCTAACGTGGCTTATCCTGACTCCCACGTGGCTTCAGACCGAGACAAGGAACGTACGTGACTGGATCAGAGGTGGCTGGACACTGAACTCACACTGTTAGTCTTCACCAGACTTCTTTTGCGGGGTGAATAAATCGTAGAAATCGGTCTAAAAAGGGTATTTTTTGGCCAGAGAAGATAGCCGGCCAGAGAAGCTCCATTGCCCCGCCAAGAAGCCGGCTATCTTCTCTGGCCAATTAAAACCGTTTTAGGTCGATTTCTACGATTTATTCACCCCGCAGAAGAAGTCTGGTGGAGACTACCACACTGTACCGTTATGGCCCCCAACACCCTGTCTCTCACTCTCACTGCATCGAGCTCACTCGAAGTCTCTTCATGACTGTCTCACTCTGCTTCCATTTTTCTCTTTCCTCCATCGCTGCAGGCAGCTGACTTAGAGCCCTTCTACTGTCAGCTTCTAACTGTTTAATGTAAGTCAAGCGTGATCTTCCGCGACTTCTCTTTCCATGACTCGGGTTCCACAGTAAGAGTCTGTGTGCTAGCCTGGGTACCATCCGGATTTTCGCTACGTTCGAGCGTTGCGTAGCGAAAATCCGGATGGTACCCAGGCTATCTGTGTGCTACCTCGTCCTTTTTCCTCCAAGTGGCCTACAAAACGTAGTCTCATTTGCCGTATTGTTTCAGCAATCGGCTGTATTTTTTGTACAGCTCACGGTTTGAAATTCTTTGTGAGATGAGATGTTTAAGACATTTCTCAGCGTTCTAGTGTATCAGCCATGTAACCTTCTCGCCAGTGCGTAACACTCTGAACCATGCATAGAGAAGGATTAATATCAACACCGTAAAAAAATCTAAAAACACTGTCCAGCATATGTTTCGGGGATCTGCCTTTTATGTCGTAGGTCCCTACTAGTTATGGTACTCGTAGATTCTGTACAAATTATGAAAGGCTAAAAAAATTCACCCAATGATAGCAAGGTGGTCTTGTAGTTAGGGTTCTTGACTCGAGTCTGAAGGGTCTGGGGTCGAATCCCTGGCAAGCCCTAGTGTTGTGTCCTGGGGAAAGGTACCTCACACCTATTTCCTCACTTGACTCAGGTGAAAAATAATACCTAGTCTCCGGATGGGACATAAAGCCAGATGTCCAGTGTTTGAGAGAGACACACCTCGAGCACGTTTAAGACCCACCACACTTATCGAAAAGATTAGGGGTCCTTCCCGGTGTGAGTGGTCAAAACTTACGTGAACGGTCTGGTCAGCCGTAGCCAGGATGCCAGACCCATAGCACAGATATGGGTCTAGTATCCAGGCTAGGTCTTCCGCAGCTTGTACTTAAACTGTACAAAACTGGTGTGTTAGAGCTACGTCTGTTAAAAAGCAGTTTACCGGTTATGCGAAATAAAGGCAAATGTTCATTTAAGAGCAGTTGGATTTAAGGACTCAGCATCCATTGATTGCATAATAGGCTACTATTCCACAAGCAAATGTTAGGCCTGTTTTCCAGCTTTAAATAAGCTTTCTTTAGGCGTTTATAGCTTTCTCTAGGCATATTGTCGGGCTTTCTATTTTGTCGGCTTCTGTTTGGGTGGCCATGACCAGGCCCGTCAAAATTAACTCCCAAAAATCTAAACGCAGACTTACACCCCGTTCACAGTGAAACTTGTCGATCCGGATCGGCCGCCGATCGGGATCAAAATTATGCAAATGAAGTCAATCCGGATCGGTTTTCGCAGTGTGGACGCTCCAATCGGGATTGATTTTCTCCGATCCCGATCCAAAAGTAATCCACCTCGGGTTCAAGACACTTGCGGCGGATCGGGATCGGGCGTAAACAACGTTACCCGCGCCAGAAACTGACGAAATGTGGCGGATGCTACTTGAAACATCAGCGACAGTTTTTAAAATCTATCCAGTTGCTCGAGTTAGCTTTAATTTCTTGTGCATCTCATTATCTGGATTTCTAGCCTTCGTCGATCCATGTACGTCAGAGACAACGTTGTTCCTAAAACAACGGTCAGGAAAAGGCGAGTCACACATACGGATCTTAAATTAAGGGACCACCACAACTAAGGATGCCCCCAGAACCCTCCTTAGTAACCGTCATAACAATGGCTTTGCCGATCAAACCCAGTGGGTGTGAAATTCTTCGAAAGTCATTGTGGTTTTAGCGGATTTTGATCATTTGAAGCCCCAAACTTACGCGTGGTGTACATGTAATGACCCATAACCTGTGTTACACAATCTCTCACTGCCAGAGGCTAATTGTCTCCCTCCCAGCAAGGTTAAAATCTAGAGCCTCTTGATTTTTTAAACCTCACTTGTAAAGCCTCCTTGCTTGCAAAGATAGCTGGGCCGCAAGGAGCGTGATTTAGTCAGGCAGGTACAATGGCCCCAGAACAAATAGATGCCTAAATTGTTAACAGCTAACTAAAACATATGCTCATAAACCATGACACTTATTACAACATAAAACATGAATTTAATCCAAGTTACAACATATGTACATACTCAAACATCAACTAATCACACAAAGTCTCTCTCAATGCACTGCATGAACTAAATTCAGGGTTCAACAAAAACGTAAAATATTCTGTTTTCCACATCTGTGACTATGGCACACAAAGTCTTTGAAAGTCAATTCTTGTTCTTGTATTAAGAAATATGCCCTAAATAAAGGGCTACCTCATCCTAGAAGAGTATAATAATTATAAAAAATATATCAAAGAAAGATGGATACTAATATACAGAAAGAAACAAATATACATCTGCTAATAATACATTTCATGTATATAAATTAATAGCATATCCCTAGGCTCTTACTACATTCACTTCACAGGATAAAGATAGATGAACAGATTTTAAATCTAGCAAGATCATTTACACATGTTTGCTACATTGAATGCAACTTAAACTTCACAAGATGATGATTGGCAAGAGCTAGTATCACTTCCAAATAATTTTCCATGTAGTGCATGCACAAAGTACAATTGGAAATATATAGTAAGGAAGACTGTTGAAAATACTGTCCAATTTACATATTGTACTCTGAATAAAATAAAATAAAGACTTCATCATGGGTTCTGCTTGATGTCCCATTTGCGTCTATCACAGGACAATTTGTGCTATTAGTTAGCATTACTGAATAGCTGAGAAGCTTATGTTTCCGACATCTAACTCTGCAATAGTGTCCAGGCCAAGTTCCTCCAGCAGCTTCCCGAAGCTGAGATTCTGCGTGACAGGTTCGTGGTCGCCTTCCTTTCCCTGGTACTCCTCCTTCAGGGGAGTTAGGCCCGGCAGGCCAAACTCCCGCAGTGACCCCAGCCCCAGCTGCCCGGGAGAGGTCTTCGACTTCTGAACCCTCCCCAGTAAAGGTGGGAAGCTGTCCTTGATGGGACTGACGTGCTGTGTCAGGCTGTTACTGCTGTGCAGGCCGCTGTCCGGGGTCTTGGGGATGGAGAAGTCTTGGATGGGAGACAGAAGTCCTGGGCTGCGAGACGACGTCTTGGGAGGCGTGACTTTCCTCGGCGTGGAGGTAGCGACATTCCGCCCAATCACAGGAGTCCTGAGGACGGATCTGAGCGGAGAGATCTCCAGGTCCAGACTGTTCAACAGCTCGCTGAACCCCTTGTCGGGGGAGAACAGCAGATGGCTGTCCGGCGACCACAGCAGCTGGCTTCTCATCCCCACATCCTCCTCCTTAACACGTTCCTTTGTTGGTGTGAGGTTAGTGGTCTCCTTCAGCGGAGACGCACCTGACGGTCGGTAAAACGTCGGGACAGGCCTGTGCTGTGAGGAGGTGGGAGAAATCATGGACTTCCGTTTGCGCGGTGGAAGGTCGGAATCGGACGGTCTCTTGATGCCGTGTTGTGTGGCAGGCTTGGGGAAGATTGTCCTGGGGGTTGTTACACTACCAGACCTCAGTAAGTGGCTTGGTGTAACACTAACAGGCAGCTGGCCCTGGTATAGCAGGAAAAAAAACCTTGATTGGTTACAATGTTTAAGATGGATTTAACTTTTAATATCACATAATGCACATGTGGTCTAACTCAGTATATACTCAAACCTCCAGTCCTAACACCCCCCTCCCACTGATTCTGGAAAAATGCTTGTGCCCCTCCCTATCAGTTATAGTCACATGGAACAGTCTGACATGTCCTTTTCCAGGTCACTCACCTTGGGCTGAATTCTGACCACCCCAGCAGGCCTGTGCCCCAGGGTGGGGTTGTTGTCCCGTGACCCTGGGGCAGGTAACACCACAGGGACCACTGCATAACCACCAAGAGGCCGGGGCAGGATAGGGGGTGTGCCTGAGGGATAGAAGAGGCAAAATTTGGTGATTTTTTTGTTGTTTGTTTGCTCTCATTTTTTCCCTTCTGATGCTTTTCTGTGCAGATTTTGTATGCATGTCAACTTGTACATGGATCTTTGTGATTATTCATTATGTAGCTATAGATACTGTATGTGTGATTTGCAGTACCATTGATCCAGTACTAGTACCTTCTACCAAGGTAAATAAGCTACTTGCTCCTACCATACAGCTCAGGAGTGGGTGGACATGTACTAGTACTGAGATTAATCAAAGCAGTATAGGACTGATGAATACAGTTTTACTGTAACTTAAAATACATAAAATGCATACACAAATTTACGAGTAATCCATAGAAAATGCATCAATTTGGAAATATATGTATGTTGCGTACAACAATCTTGGACAGAGTTTTCTTTTTATAGTACTCCCACGATACATATATCCAAATTCTCAGTAAAGAACCACCCATTGCTGAAAATTTAGTGTTTCGCAGCAAGTGATCTTTTTTTTTTACAAGAAAAACTCATTGTGTAGGTATGAAGAGACATAGCTCACCAGATCTTGTAATTTGAGGAACTGGCCGGCACCTCATCTGTGCTTCTCTTCGTTCCATCTGGTCTATTGTCAAACAGCGCTCCTGGAAACAGTTAATATGACCCTAAATATGATTCTTCTTTCACATAGATCTACTCTGTAATGTGCCGTGTGCTGTTACTACTTCAATATAGTTCATTGCTTTTGTATGTAATAGGACTGTAGCACCATATAGCAAACACTGTCAGGGGCTCTTTACTTTGTTAACTTTACTTAGCGAACTTGGCGAACAATATGACACATGAAACACACAACTGCTCATCATCAGGGCTCAAAATTAAAGGTGGTCCAATGGCCACTGACCACTAAAATTTAGGCTGGGACAACTGAAAAGACACTTTGGGACATTTTTGGGACAATAGAAGAATAATCAACATCAGAATGTCAGCCCTTCTTTTGTTTATCAGGCACACATCCTGGCTCTTGGATCCGGAAAAGTCCCTCCAAATTTCCCGTCTACACTGCAATTATACTTTTATAGTGCATGCACCTGGGAGTGAACATAAGTAAAATAATGTTGACTTCAAGTTGAAGTCATAAAAAAAGGTCATACAGTTCATCCTCACTTCAGGACAATTGAATTTTATTTTTGGGACACGATGGTCAGATTTGGGCCCAAAAGTCCCAATCCGCTACTATGGAGATCGAATCCCCCGAACCCGCGAATCTTGTTCGATATGACGTCATTCGAATAGAGCGGGCGTTCGATCCGGGGTTACCCGCGGTCATTTACAGTAAAGCCGCTACAACCGGCTACTTCAAGCCCTTTTTTACTTGGGAACCACGGAACAGGAAAAATCCACCTTTCCACAAATATGAACCGTTTTCAAAACATTACATCTATGCCGTGATTTTATTGTGGATATGTAACATGTAACGAAGCTACTGCCGTCATCGTGAGTGACCTTGAAGGTCAGAATTCTTGTTGACGCTGTTATAAAATCCAGGTCCCCATATCCAAGTGGCACAGCATGCGTGCAAACATGGTATTTTAACCATTCCCAAAAATCGCTCAAATTACCTCATTGAGGGCTTGTTTGGAAGAGCAACGATTTCCGCAGATTTCTGTCTTAGGGATTTTTTAAATATGGCCGCGATTATGAATTATCGGTATTTAAAGTTAAAACACCGCGTTTTTAGCTCTTCTTTTGACTGTAAGTCGAGTTTTAGTGAAAAAATAAAAAAATCCTAAGACAGAAAGTTTAAATTTACTGTAATATTTCTAAAAATCCAAAAATCTAACCTTATTTTTAATTTTCGGGGCCTCTTAAAATCAGTTGTTTGGTTCTCGTGAACCGTTTTTGAAATCCGAAATTGATCTCATTTGGAAGCAAATGTACACAAAGTGGAGCAAAGGCAGTGCAAGAATAACATTTGAGGTAAACAAAATCACTTATTACATTTTATTTTGACAAGTATTTACTCTCCAATTACTTTTGTTTATTTTCAAATTTTACCCGTTACCCCCGGGCCGGCCTGGGACTCCCGCGCGGCCACGTTCGAACACGTTCTGTAACCCGATACCTCCCTAGTAATGCGACTTTTAGCCTAGCAACCGACCGCCGTGGGACAGTGCTGGGACAATAGGAAGAAAAGTTGATTTTGAGGCCTGATCCAATGACATACCAGAGCTTCGTGACACAGAGTCCAGTATGACTGGGCCCTGCCGCTCTCGCATTTCGTCGTCTCGCGTATGAAGATGTCGTGAAGGGAAAGGTTGTGTCGGATGGAGTTCTGAAATAAGTCAACAGAAAAACACTGTAAGAAAGTGGGTCACAAACATTTCAAATTGATCACATTGTCATAATATTACAGGTCATATTTGCCTCTCTTCTGTGGTCAGTATACATATACATGTACTTAGATTCAACACGTGCATTTCAACCTGTGTTGGGGAGGGTGGATTTAACTGACCTTCCATCCTTGCTTTGCGGTCTTGAAGTACGGGAAGCGATCTTCGATCCAGGCGTAGATTTCCTTCAGCGTCATGCGGCGCGCAGGACTGCTGTTGATGGCAAACTGTATGAGCGCCATGTAGGAGTAGGGCGGGCGGTTACTGTCGTGGGTCTTCCTCTGGGGCTGGGGAGAGACAACCAAGAACTGTAACTTAGGCTGCTGGAAAGAGTAGGAGAGCTGGTGGGAGTAGCGAAAAAAAACGGATCATATATAAAAAGTTATGATCTTCCCCCCCCTCAACCTCTGCTTGGCGAGTATTAGGAGAGTGGAAAACTATACTCCTTTAGTCTGACCAAATCACCTGCCATGTTATGTGCTTATTTGGCCAATTTCTTCTCTTTTATTCCATGCCAGCCTTGGAGAGGCTATTTTGTAATATGTGATTCATGATAATTAGTCTACTTATGTAGCCTGCCAAATAGCAAATTGTTAAAACTTTTTTGCAATGTCATGAATTTTGATGCAATTTACTGCAGGTAAACATTTAAAGCCCTGCAGGATGGCCAGTTTTGTGCTTATATAATTTCAAATTTTAGTATTTCTCTGGAAATTTTTAGATGCCAGCAATATCTCTTGAGAGCCTGACAGAATGAAACAAAAATTATTCTTTTCAAAATTTCAGTGATCAAAACTTTGCCTAAATTTGATTTACTGATCCCCGTCCCTCTCTCGTTGTACTGAGCCCTTACCCTGCCTATCCTGTTATAGCTCCTCTCCTGCCTGTCCAACAGTGTGTTGGCTCCCATCTTCCCTAGCCAGTGGATATTGGTCAAGCTGTCGTCCATCTGCAGCAAAGGATCCTGGGAATGGCCACCTGACAAGGTGTCAGAGGAAGACGTCAGCTCAAATCAAACATTTCATTTATTTCACATGAACAGAAGGTAGAACAGAAAGGCCAGCAGAGCCAGCAAGTCACGTTTTTCTCATTGGCATTGTTGTTCAATAGAAAAATGTTCTTGTCATAGACTCAGACTCAGTCAGAGCACACATATCCAGAGAGGTGGGGTTGTGTGGAAGAAAAATGCCCAATATTTTGAATTTGAGCAGTGGATTCTCAAAATGTAGTACTTCACTACACTGGAGGTCTAGAGAAGTGGTCAACCCTCCCAAGGCAGGCCTCTACAGACATGTGTGCTTTTGTTCAAACAATTGCAGATTTCTCAAAAACAGAACATCATACATGTTTATCTATAATATAAATCAAAATTCATACATAAAAATTATCTTTTCTCTCTTTTTACCAGAAATAGCTGCCTGCTGCTGTCCTCTCATCTGTTGTAGACCTACTGATGAGCTCCTTCCTGGCACCAGTGGCACAGCAAAGTTCCAGTCCTGTTTCTTCCCCTGTCTGACCTGCTCTGTCACTTGTCTGCCTGTACATGTGGTG